GCACGGGTCGAGGCGCTATGTGTGCAGAGGATGCACAAGTCACCTTAAGCTAGTAAAGAGAGAGTTACGAACCATGAGGCCAATCACCACCGACCAAGGAAAACACAAACAAGAAACAAAAAACACAAACCCACAAACCAAAACCCCAAAAACAAAGGCCAGGTTATTTCAAGAATGCACAAAGGTGGTACACCTGCAAGGCGCCAATCGACACTCAACATCCTTTTGCCATTGAGCCAGTTGGCAGCTCAATTTGGCTCCCTGTGAGCGTTTTGGAACTTTTGCCCTTCTGTGACTCCCGTGGCAAAGCTGTTCTTGGAGCCACCGCCGCAATGGATGAGCACTGTGGCCGTCTCCCCCCTCTGGGGGGAGATGTTGCCCTGTCGGAACTGTGCTTGCTAGCACCCCACAACCACACTGCACGTCTCGGCTCCACTGGCTCACGCTTTCGATGGTTTGAAGTCCTCGATTGCTGACACAGTCGTTTTCCCTGAGCCGCATGTGTCTTGCGTCCTCTGTTCCGGCAAATTCCTTGCGACTTAGTGATGTTGGTTTTGGGTGTGTTGATTGCCTCTGCCTGGGCTGCCCTTCACGCACATTTGCAAACCCCTGCCTTGCAACACCGTGTTCTGATTGATGAAGCCTCATTTGAAGTGTGGAGCTTCGGCTGCAGAAGTCATCGCACGAAGGATGCAAAAGGATGCAAAAGGCTTCGATAGCTGTGCGTATGTCAAATAGCCTGACTGCTGCCACATGCTGGTACTGCCGTCTCATGGAAAATGACTAAATGACGTGATGGTGACGTACTGACTGCAAAGGCTGACATTGCCGACTTGAGTTACGATGCAAGCCCCATGAACTAAGTGCAGGGTGAGACGCCGTTCTCCTATGTCCTATTCGCTGTACAGGTCTGTTCTCTTTGTACTCATCCAGGACCGCTGTCTTTTTTTGCACGAGTACGGACGCCATGTGGGCGGCGTGCCCAGGTCATCATGAGAAGGATGGAAACTCTGAATATTGGTAAGGAGGGCAACCAGAAAAACACAGAACCAAACACAAGCAAAACCCAAAACCCAAAACAGAACCAGAGAACCCCAACAACCAATGTGGGCAGAGTTTCGACTGTACTAAGGTGAGACGTGTGAAACATGAGAGAGTGTTGTACTAACTAGTTGGGCCTGAATTCTCGAAGTTTGCAACACACTGTATCAGGACTTTGATTGTTGTCCTTGAAGGCCATTCACCAGTGGCCTTCGAGCGCAGACAAAGGGCAGGGTCGCCCTTGCCAGGTTAGGTTGCAGGCACTTCAGCCTTGTTCGAATGTACGATAGATCAGCTGGTGCGAACTATTTGCAGCTCGTCAGATCAGTAATGATCGTTACCGGTCATCAATAGCTGCAATGCATTACAGGCCTTGGAAAACAGCCATCCTACGGCACAGCCATGACAAACGACTGCACAAGCAAAGACGACTGTGGCCAGTCTTGGGCATGACGGTGGTGGACATTGCAAACAAACATAGCTGCAGGCAACCTACGGACCTCCCTCATGCAGGGGGAGGCAGCATACGCCCGCCCAAAAAGCTCCCGGGCAAGAAGCGGAAGGAGCTTGGGGGGGGGGGCGTGCAAAGTGCAGAATGGGATGGACAGAGCGTTCTTCAAAGGTCACCATCCATAGACATGCCTGGCCCTGGTGAAACTGGTGAAAACGAAATTTATCCTAGCATGGTACATTGCGCCCTCTTTGTACAAGATTGGCTGAGTGCAGAGTCACAAAGACGAAGAAGTGAGGTTCTCACCTGGGTGTAAATTCACTGTTCTACCGCCGCGCGCCAATCACCGGCCAAGGAGGCTCACAGCCAGGTCGGCTCACTAACAGCAGGATGTGGAGACGAAATTGGCAAGCAGCTGATCCATACTGATTGGCCAGCGGTGGCAGGTGAGGCCTTTGCTTAACTGGCACAGTGCTGTGTTCTGTGGGGTTAGGTGTGCGCACAGACAAGCATGCGCCACAGTGCATTCGAAGGTGAATGCAAGCAGGAGTGGACGAGCTTAGGCTAAGTCTGACACATAGCCCTGAGGCTTTCACTCTGATGTATGCACTGAGTATGGCAGTCTGACCTCTTAAGCTGGCACAGTGCACAAAAAATGAACTCCTGGATATCCTCAATGCTTGAGTTCGAAATATCTACCTGTTTGAGTGGTTTACAGTCATCACAGGCATGTGCACCCAGCACTTGGAAATCTGGAGTTAACTCTAGTGTATTTTTTTTTGCACGGGTAAGGGCGCTATGTGTGCCGAGAGGCACAACTCATGAGGGGTGCGGGAAAATGAGCCTGACCACGGAAAGCAAAGGAAGCAAACAACAAAAAACCCACAAACCAAAGCCGACCCAAACCAACCACAGAAACCAAGCAGATCAGGCTCATGTCCGCTCTAGTCTTAAAAAGCAAAAGGTGCAGATCCGAAGACCAAACACAGAAGTGAAACGGGGCGATGAATTCCTTTCAAGCTGCTCTCAGTACAGGACGTCCAGGGCGAAACTGCATTTTGCACGTTGACTGGCAGGTATCCCACCAGAGATGCCATGCGTATCAGTATGCATGAGCAAGACTGAAGGCAAGAGTGAGGTTCAAATCAGGTTCTTTTTAGGTCCATTCGGAACTGGGCACGACACAACTTGTATCAAAGAATGCGTACGCGCCATAGACCATGTGGTATTTTCAAATTGACAATACTGTGTCAAGAACTCTTCACGCATGCGGGACAAAATTTCAATCTGCTCGTGATTTTAGCTTGATCATTGCGCAGCCTGGGATGCCTGTCGGGGAACTAGGGAGGAGCGACAGCGGGCATTGCAGCCTCGCCGCCTTGTGGAGCAAAGACCCTGGACAAGCAAGAGGTGGTAGGAGGTTCAGGATTGATGCCTGGCCTCTCGCCCCAGTCCCTGCAATTATTCCACTTGACGTGTAGTTGAGGCTTGCAAGGATTGCTAGCTAAGTTCCCAGACGGAATGCAACAGGAGGACACTACGAAGACATGCTTAAGACAAGCGATGGCAACGAAAGGGCAAGAGCAGCAGCAAGCAATACACCACCTCCCCCTGCGGGGGA